CTCTTGATCTTGTATACCCATTTGCTGCCAATAGGAGTCACCCCTGGTGAGAAATTAACAATAGTCCAAGTATCATTGAGCTTAAGAGCTTGGATTTCACTCTCCATGGCTTTCTTCCAACAATATTTTTTACTAGCTTCAAGAAAAGACTTAGGTTCCTTTAAGTTAGTGATATTCATACAAAATGCAGCAAAATTTGGTGATAAATTAGAGAGGGAGTAGAAAGATGAGATTGGATAGAGACTACCTTTATTGGTCACCTAAGATGATAAGATTGAGTTGCATTGAAAGTCCTATAAGTATGTAGGTTTTAATCTGTGTGATCTTCTTAGTCTTTGTGGAGAATTTGAGGTAGTAGGGTGAAAATGTGGAATGACAAGTGGTTGAGTCGTTAGTAGGAAACTTTGTTCAGTGTGTGGCATAGGTATGTTTGTTGTAGGGTCAGGTTGGTTCAGACTAGAATCCTGATCAGAAATTGTATGTGGCATGTTATTCTGATAAGGAAAAGTGAATTCTTCAAAAACAACATTTCTAGAAACATGTAATGTCTTTGTACTCAATTCATATAATAAGAATCCCTTTGTACCTAACTTATAGCCTTCAAAGACACACTTCTTTGCTCTTGGATCAAATTTACCTCTATGTGAGTTTATTGTGGATAAATAACATAAACACCCAAAAACTTTTAAAAGGCTTAGATCTGGTTTTTGATGAAACAGAATTTCATAAGGTGATTTAAAATTAGTGATAGGAAATGGCACAGTTAGGCCCCAAAAATGTTTAGGTAAATTTGCTTGAAAGAGAAGAGCTCTAGCTATGTTGAGAAGAATTTGATGTCTTCTCTCAACTCTAGCATTCTGTTAAGGTGTCTCAACACAGCTTGTTTGATGTATGATTCCAAATTCACAATAGAATGACTTCATAAAAAACTCAGTGCCATTAACTAACCTAATGTTCTTAATTTTTCTTTCAAATTGGGTTTCAATAATTTTAGTAAAATTTCTTATATGATTTTTTGTTTCTAATTTATGTTTCAACAAGATCACCAAGTGTATGTACTATGATTATCCACAATTGTAAGAAAGAATTGATATTTATGGATAGTATAAACATTATATGGTCCCCATACATCTACATAAATTAGATCAAAAGGCTTATTAGCCCTGCTCATGCTATCATAATAAGTTAATTTTTTTTGCTTTGTAAAATGACAGGTCTCACAAATTAAATTCTTATTATATGTCTATAAAAAGGGGCACAAAGCACACAACATATTCATTCTAGAATTCGAGACATGCCCTAATGGTTGGATAACCTGCTTCTTATAGCACACCTCAATAGTATATCTTGCCTTTCCACAGTAACTAATATTTTTAGATTGGATCTTCCATTAGAAAAGTTTGGAGAATTACCTGTACCTCTTCAATATGGCCTTTTCCATTCTGCAGCATTTGCAAAAACCTGCATATCACTATCATTACTTGAATTGCTCAACTTCTTTTCTTGTTGAATCACTAGGAAAAAAACTTTGCTCAGATCTAGAAATGGCTCCATCATAAGAATCTATGACTTTACTACATTAAACTCATCTCCAAATCCACTAAGAAATTTCAAAATGCAATCCTCATCTCTAATAGTTTACCATTTTTTCTAGTATCACACACACATTTTACAGTACAGATACAATGTGGAAGAGGTCTAACAATTTCAATCTTATCCCATAATGAAGTCATCTCAGTGAAATAACTAGTGACAGAATTAGTACCTTGCTTTAGTGAGTTCAATTCTTGCTGTAACTCAAAAACACGGATTCTATTACCTTGAGCAGACCTATCCTTCAATAGTTTCCATGCTACTGATGCTACCTCTAAGTAGACAATGCTCTGAGTAATTGTTAGCTCTAGCGAGTTGAAAATCCAGGATAGGACAAGGTTATTGCACCTTTCTCATGCCTCAAAACTTGGATTGAAGGTGGATGGCATTGGCAGCATGCCATTAACGAACTTGTACTTGTTTTTAAAAATGAGAGATCTCTTCATAGCTCTAGCCCAGCTATGATAATTCCTTTCAGACAGTAATAGTGTGGCTAATACAAGATAGGGATTCTCATCAAAATAGATGTAATATTCACTCAAGGGATTCAAAGCAGGGTCTTGCATTGGAGGAGGAGGTGGTGGATTTTCACCTCCACCACTAGAATTTCCTCGTGCCATGGAGGAAGAAAATGGCTACTCAATTTTACCTTTTTGAATTAATGAACCAGAGGTACAACCCTTCACATAGACATGTATGTGTAATGGAAGGAGGAAAAGCGAAAAATAACAAAAAGTTCAAAAAGGAATGCTGATGGAAAAGAAAAACAGAATACACACAATGGAAGGTAAACAAAAGATGCTAACAGAAAAAAAATTGAAAGAATGTGTGGTGCGCGCATATCATGAGGTATTAGCTTGTCGATGTGTGGAAATTAGTTTGTAAAGCTGGTGCCCTTAGTGATGTGATATGTTTGATAATGTTGCATTACTAAACACTACCATCTCCCATCAATTTTCTCCCTTACCCAAAAATTGCCTTTGCAGAACCATTTTCTCCTAAACCTTTAGGCACGTGAGAAGGGTTCCAAGCATAAAACGAATGAAGTGAATGACTTGGTTACTTGTAAGCTTTGGAAATAGAAGAGATGAATTGCGCAAATTAAAAAAAGAAGAACGGGGTTCAATCTTCTTAGAGAGGATTTACAAATTTTTAAATTATTAATATTTTTAAATATATCCTTTTTAGAGCTTATGGGATATAAAATTTCCATAAAATTGTCAACTTGATAAATCACTATTGACATTTATTATTTATATATAAATGTTTTGTATTATTATTAAATTATTAATTAAATACACTTTATTGGTCCATATAAAAAGGTGTCAAATGTTCCTTCAAAATTCCTAGTACGGAAGTAAACACCTCCTCAATAATACAATTAGTCACAATCAATTTTTCACTGTTATATTTTTAAAACTCATAATTTTTTATCTTTATGAATTAAACTCCATAAATTATTTCATTTTAGTTTACTTCTCAGAACTCGTCAATGAAACCATCTTATTTCAACTGAATGAATTTTTTATTTTTTTTTGAAGCCTAACTTCATATCCTATAAAAAAAATTATTTTTAAAATGATTATTTTTTTATTTTTGAACTGTTAAAATGATTTTGTTTCTCAATTTTGTTTCCAATTCCTAATTGTTTAATTTTAAAAAAATGTTTCAGGCACTATATATAAAAAGTGGCTAAAAAATTTTGTTTTGATCAATGACTGAAAAATTGTTCGTAATGGTGAAAAAAATTATATTAAGTAAACTGACTCATACATAAACCATAATAAATGGGCCTTTAAACTTTCATTCTTTGTGTCTGTTCAAACATAGCTGGGCCGAAACTTCTTTCATTTATCGACAAAAAACAAAAAGCTTCTTTCCTTTCGTCTCTCTATACGTCTACGCGTTTTAAAAAGGTTAAATTAGTCTACAAATCTTCGTAATTTTAATATAATTTAATAATTATTATCATTTTCAATAAGACAACGTAGGGGTACTCTAAAAAATCATAAACTGTGTTCAATGAATATGACAATAATTTTATTATTTGAAAATCACAAAAATATGTTGAAAAGAATATTGAAAAAAAAAACTAGTAGTAAATAATTGAAACCCAAACCATAGTTTAAATCTCTGGGCACAATCACAGATAGAGAAGAGTGAGGCATGTGCAGTTTTATCTTTTTCTTTGACAGGCAGTGGTCGGTTCCCACCTTCACTCTTAGTCTCTTTACCCCAAACTCATGGAAGGGATTGGTAACTTTTGAGAAAAATATTATAAAAATAATCACGATTCGCGCGCACCTCGTTGCAGGTCGAAAGAGAAAGAGAAATATTCATCAATATGGTCAATTTTCTTTTTTAAAGTATCACCATTCACCAACTGCGCTAATCTATTCAACCATAACTTTTGGCTTTCTCATTGGAGCTACAAACATTCAAACATACATGTTTCGCGCCTTCTTTCTCTCTTTCTACGCTAAATCATTTAATTAAATATATACAGTGTAATGTTAAATTTCTATTTGAACAAGAAGCGAAATTGAAAACAAAAACATAATCAATACAAACATGATACATGAACAAAGTGATACTTTTTCTTCTCAATTTCTTTTATCAACTTTTTTTTTCTCATTTTTACCTAGGATTCTATTTTCTTCCTTGAAATTCTGAATTTTTCTTTATAAGCAATTTTTATTGTTATTAGTTTTAATGGTTGAAAATTTTATTTATAGTCCAGCCATATTTCATATTTCTATAAAATAATAGTTATCTCCCCAATATCCGTTGGTAAAAAACCCAAAGTTACCATTAATATTATAAACAAGAAAAATTGCTAATCAGTACTTTAAAAATAGTAGTAAAGAATTTATAAAAAAATAATACACGTTTGTCATAATTTTTAATACATTTCTAGCATTATTTTCAACATGTTTTTTATTTATATCTTAAGAACACTAATTAACAACGCCATTATTTATAAAAAATTAAAATAAATGTCGGTATTGAACTTAATTAATAAATAGCAAATGATGTTCTAATCAGTTTGTAGTTGTACCTTCTTTTGTCCTATTAGTTAACAGTTATTTGGGTCGTTGAACTTTTTGGGACTGCTTTGATATACACCCACCATTCTAGCTTGATTGGTGGGATAAGAATATTTTCTTCTGTTTTCGATTGGATTTTCCGTTTATTGCGCTTTCATGCACTTTTTTTTTTCTTGGTCTTAGTCAACACTGCATTCTTGCGTTTGCGCATGTGTGACGTGTCGGTCATACAGAGAGAGAGAGAGAGAGAGAGAGAGTTCAACATTCAACATAGAAATATGTAATTATATCAACTCTTCTGCACTTGCTTTTCTCATAGAGCAGATTCTCAAATTTGGTTCTATGAGGTTTACAGCGGAGGTTGTAATCATGAAAAAGTACACGAAATCGAAAGGTAAAAGAAAAGGACAAATGGTCGAAACCAATGGAAAAAACTAAAGAAGAAAAGAAAAGAATGGAGGAAGGAAATCATACGAGTATATACTATATATATATATCCTACCTAAATAAATGACCATTAATTTCTAGGGTCATTCATTTTTTTACCCTTCCCTCCTTTGTTAATAATTGTTTTCTCATGAAATTAATGGACCGGCCTGCAGAGACAGTTGCTCGAGGGGTCATAATCAGCAACGAGAGCCCTTCCTACAGCTGAGTGCACCCGCACCAGTTGTTATGGTACCCACTAGTGAAGATGGCCTTGCACTTAAGCTTGAAGCTCTTGCATAACTTGATGAGGCTCCTGCTCCTGATGCTGTGAAAAATGCACCGTTTACTAATAGGTCTCCTTCTGACCTCCAATTCCACCCCTTCCATTCACTCTCTGGTGCATCCTCATGCTTTGTCACCTGCACAAATTCATATAATATAATTAAATACTTCACTATAAAAAATTAATTAAACCATAGGAAAAAATGTTTCTTTTTTGTTTAATCATTTTTAGTACCTCTTTGCTGAATCTCTCATCGGGTGCAACGAATCTGTTGCCTTGGCTATTGATGGTTGGGTTAGCACTCCCCCCTATAGCATACATTTCCCAGTGGGTATAGTCATTGTTCACCACATGAAAATATCCATGCCTACACCTGCACACATCACAAAATATGTTTCAAATTTCAGCATTTAGTGGCCCCACATAGTAATAGCTAAATTAAATTATAGTATTGACAAAGTAGTAACACAATCACTCCCATCCACATTGATTTCTAAGCCTTTCACTTTCATTCTCACTCTTTCCCTCCTTTTTTTCTTTTCCCATACCCCTTTCCTCGAGGCGTATAATAATAATAATAATAATAACAATAACAATAACAATGTTACACGAACAAAAAAAAAACACAAAGCATGTGTAGAATCATTATCATTTTACTGTTAAAGCATGTTGATTTGTTTTGCTTTGAGTTGTGAGTTTTCAAAAATGGGAACAAAAATTCACTTTACCTTGGCATCCTCTGAACCAGGCCTTCTCCAAAGTGGTTGAAAGCAATTGTGACTTGCATGTTCTTGTCTTGTGTGTAGGAATCGCTGTGACCCAAAAGCATGACCTTATCATGGTGAGTCATGTAATTGTTGGAGATAGTAATTGCGGTGGACCCATGTATAGCGTCAATTAACCCATCATTACAATTAGACAAAGAGCAATGATCCACCCAAATGTGGCTTCCACCAAAAATGGACACGCCATCACCATCCGATACGGTTCTCCACCCGTAGTGGCGTGGGGAGTCCCTCACCATAGCATTCCCACCTTGCTTACAATCATGAATATGTATCCCATGGATTATAACATTTGTCACATACTGTATAGTAATGCATGGGCCACCAGAAATGTGCACGCTAGCACCTCTTCCATCAATAGTCTTGAACGAGTTCATGATGAGCTCTTCCTTCAGCTGAATCACCATGTCTCTGGCGAATATGATCCACAATGGCTCGTCTTGAATCACCGCATAACGAAGGGTCCCTGGCTTAGGCGTCACAGGGTCATCATCGCCAGAATCAGTGACAACGTAGATTTTTCCATCTCTTCCACCAATGGCGTTTTTCCCGAACCCAATTGCACAATCTGCTAGCCTTTGCCTGTTCTTCTCCCAATTGGGGTCACACCTCCAACAATCATCAATGGGGTTCCCACTCCCACATGAGAGAAACCCCAAGTTCCTCCTAGCCATAGAGGCATTGATTTTCCTGCACAAAATAAAAAAAATTGTAAGACATTGTTATTAATGTCTCTGACATGAAGTTGCTAATGTTAGCGTATTACATCGACATTATTAAATTCAATTTAATGTGGGATTTGGCATTAGCACCTGTTTACTTCATGGGCCACCAATTGAGGGTCTTGAACAGGGGAGGAGGAAATGAGGGTTGGGGTGAGGAGAGAGAAGAGGAAGAGGATAAGAGAGAGTGAAGTGGTGGACATGTTTAATGTAAGAGGAAGGGTGAGAAGAAAGTACGTAGGAAGGGGGTGTATATAAAGGAATTAAAGAGGGGCTAATTGGCGTGATTAAACTGAACATGTAGGACCCACCTGCTTCGTGATTTCTGGTTTTACGGGTTACCAGTTGGACAGTTTTGTCCGTTAAGCAAACCCCAAATCATGGGGGAGGGGAAGCTTCAAACAATGTAAAAAGGAAGAACACAAAAACATTGTAAATAGTCAATATAAGTTTATTAATTCAATTATTCAATGTGCCTTGTATTCTACAAGTTTAAGCTTCCTCAAAACAGGGAGCATGAAATCAAGTACTGGCCACTTCAGTCAGGGCAGTCATGTGAAAATAATCCCCTCACCCTGTTTGATACGTTTTCTAGCTTAATTTTTTAACTTGACATGTATATAAGAGCTTGCAGAGAGTGTACCACTCAGGTAAGCTTGCTTCTCTTTTTAACTTAGTTGGTATAACTCATTAAAATAAATTATTTTTAGGCTACGTTAATAAACTTTGCTCGGTGGCAGTGATTGACTTACTTGCTCCTACGGGTCCATCTATTACTTTCTTTAACTAAAGAGGTATCTTGAAAAATCCTGAGCTTGATATCCATGTTCTGCATTCTTATTCGCAATCAGGAAATCGGAGAAGCCCATTCATAAACAATATACAATGCTAATTATTTTTATCTGGTATATGCAAGAACATGATTGGAATAATACACAATTGAAGAGGAAATGTACCAAGGTAAAATGATACGATGAAAAACCTACACCGACACCCAAAGGGCCTTAATCAAGGGGTGGGAAACAACCCATAGCTTTTTGTTTGCTAATGAAATTTTCATCTAATCATCTTGCCCATACATGCTTGCTGTTAAGCATATAGGTAAATAGAGAGGTTCCCATATAAAGAAAAACATTACTATTTAAGGTGCTTTCGACATGATAATTTGTAAGAATTTATATTGATAATAAGATAGGGACTCTTGAAAGGACATAAGAGAAAAAAATTTATCTAGCTTGCATATAATTTGCTTGCTCAATGATATCTTGGATTTTATGGGGTCCCGAACTCTTGCTTTCCTTGCGTGACAAAGGAAAACAATTGCGTTTAATTGTCTCTTAAAAAAAATGTTAAACTAGTTTTTTTACAGAAAAAGTTAAACTAGCTAGTTATTTTTACTCGTGGGTTGGATTTATTAGAAAGGAAACAGTTTTAATTGATATAGATTTTTCATTTAATAAAATTCATTTAACATATATTTAAATCAATTAATTTTATTTTAGTTTACTTTTAATATATTTATCCAGACTGAAATTATTTTACGCTGACATTTAAGATTAAGAGTCGATATGTATTATGTCATTTAATAATTTTGAGTATGTTAATAACTATATAAGTTGCCAAACTCAATATTAATTGAAGTAACGACGTATTATTAAATATAAAGCATCGAAATAAAATTTAAGAGTTTTTTTATTGCACCCATGCTAAATTAGTTTAAAATATTAAAAAAATTGTCAATTGTACATTTGTACTCGACTAAAATTATCTTTAATAAAAATACTCGTGACTTAAAATATAAAAAATTAGTTAAATATACATCTAATTTTATAAATTGTTCAAACATGACTCATGCTTGCAAATTTAAAAATTGTATGACAGAATTCTTTATTTGGCTACGCCTTTTAAGTCTGTATACACAATTTAATGGATGGTGTATCATTGCATTTATGAAAAATTATTGTAAGGTTATATACATTGCCATTAATTAGGCTTCAAAGTAATTTTACATCTGAAAATAATTATTGATAACTAATACTAAATAATACTCCATTTATTTTATCCACCTTTGAAAAAAATATTTTTCTATTTATCTACCTATTTAAAATTCAAGATAACAACAATTATTATCTTTACAATTATACTATTTCATTTATTTAATATTTCAATATTCAATACAATTATCATAAATAATAACTTAAATTTTTATCAAGCCATTAAAAAGTAATATGAACAAATATATTATTATATTTTTCTTTATATAACATTTTTCGAAGTAAACAGATAAAAAAAAGAATAATGTATATAATAGTCATTGATCGCTTCATAAATACGGAGGAAATATTATTAACCCCTTCATTTTATAATATTTGTCATTCAATATTTTCATATATCCGATTAAAGTAATTGAATCGCCTCAATCGATTACTAATATTTCTTTTATTATATTATCAATAAATATTTTTTAAATTTTTTATAAAATATTCTTTTAAATAAATTATATAGATTAAAAAAATATTAAAAGTAGGTCATTTATTAATTTCTGAAAATTTATTTATAATGACATTTTAAGTATTTTTAACGTGTGTCTAGATGATATATAATAAGAAGTTAAAAGAATAAAAATATTTATTATTTCAAAATTATAAAAAAAATATTTAACGCATACTTTAAATAAAAGTTCAACTATAAAAAATATGTAAAAAATATTCCTAAAACTTTATAAACAGCCTAATATTAAGATTCAACTAATTTAAAAAAAAAATCATTATAAAAAGAACTAAATAGGTATTACGAAATTGAAAAATAAAAAATTTAAATCTTATAATACTGGAGAATTGTTGAGTAGGTCTTGTAATTGAAAATAATAACTGAATTCCTGAACCTTTTTTTTTTTAATAAAAAATTATGATCACGTTCTTTTTTAGTTACTGACTTGATACATCTTTCTAAGTATTTTGCATCCACGGATTTTGCAAAAAAAATTTATAAGAATTAAAAAAATTGTCATAATATTTTGCAAAATTTAACATGATCCGTAATCTTGGTACTATGGTAAATTTATAGCGTTTCTTTGAAAAATTGTAGAACAAATATCGAACCAAACAAACAACGTTTCACGTGTAAATGAATTAGTTAAAATTCAATATTCAATCATTATCATTATTTAATATTTGGAATTTAGTTTCTTTTTTAAAGTATAAAGTGTACTTTAAAAAACAAATTTAAACGTGAAGAGAATATCATTTATTGAAAAAACTATTATTGAGGGGATAACAAAATACACGTACATGTAAAGTTTGTTGACATGTGAGTCACTGTTGCTTTATACTTTATCTTCAAAACTCCAAACTACAACTTTCATTTTAGAAAAATTAACTCATTCTATATTTGAGTTCAGTTGTACTAAATTTCACCTTTTATATCATAGATTATTTTGTATTATCTTTTCTCAGTCAGTCACATGTCACGTGAGTTTCTATAACAAATTAAATCAATACATTCTCTAAATTTATTATATAATCAAATGAATTTTTAAGTCATCCTATATAATTACATTCATTAATATAAATTTATTTCATTAACATTAAGTACACTACTATATTTGTAAATGATAGTTAAAACAAAATCTATATATTAAAGTAAATAAAGTTTTGAAATATTATAATTCAATTAATCAACTGATGTTAGTTTTAAAATAAAGATAAATGAGGTTTTTTTTTCTTTAATAATAACGAAACTTTTTCGTGAACATGAGAAGTTGGCATGATCTTATTTTTCATATTTATTCATTAATATAATATAATTATTTTATTTTGTTGAATTATCTTATCATATTGTTATAGTTTAAATCCTTATTTTTAAGGAGATGTTTTGTTGGAAATCATTAAAATATAATAACTTTTTTCTATTTTAGTCTTATTTATATTTTATAGTTTATTCAATATTTAATAAAAATAATTATTTAAAAAAATATAATTATAATTATTTTAAAATATTATATATTTTTAAAAATAAAAATATTTTAATTATTTTATAAACTATATTTTAAACTTTTTTATGTTTTTTTGTTCTAATTATAATTTATTTCTTAAAGTAAATTTTAATTATGAAAAGAAAAGAAAAGAAAATAAACTATTGTAATTTAATGTAAAACTTTATACTATATGTACATGAAATTATTTTTTGAATTTTATTTTATATATATATAATATTTCTAAAATAACAAATTTAAATAATTTTTTTAAAAAAAGTTATATTGATTTTGATAAAAGAATAATTTTTATATAAATATAATTTATATTTTATTTTTTATTTATCTGAAATAATAACGTGATATTATATGTATTATTATCTTGATGTACATTAAATATAAAATAAGATAAGAGCTTATATTTATCTTATTATATTATGTTTTTTTTTTTTTTGTTATATCATTTTTTTATCTTATCATATTCACATCTCTAATAATATCATATATTTAAAATAAAAAAAATACAAAACTATTTTAGTAGTTACTAGATTGAGATATATTTAATAAAAGCATAAAAAATAATTTTAACCATACAACTATGGATGTGTTTGGTAAAACTAGTAAGTTAGCTAAAAACAAAAATAAAAACTAGTAGATTAAGTTAGATAAAATTAACTATTAAACTAGCTGATAAATATAAAATCAATAATAACATTGTTAATTTTAATCTAAAATTAAACATTGATAATGATATATTTTAATCACACTCTTGTTTGAATATATTTTTATTAAATAAAACGAGACAATATGAATTAATTTATATTATACAAAATAAAATTTAATGACAGTGTAATTTTTAAAATCGAACCAAATAGAAATAAAAATAATAATATTTTAAAATTAGTGGATTAAAAAATAAATTATGAAAAATAATAAAAATAAAATACATTAATAATTATTTATTTCAACTACTTCATTAAGTAAAATTTGTTTATTGAATACGTTTTTTAATTAATAAAGCAAGTTTTCAATTAACTAAGATATTTTATCAAACAACGAGTTTGTAGTTGTGTTAAATAACGTGGATGATAGCTTCGACATCTTCTACAAATAATCTTTAACTTAAATATATAAATTTTAGTTTTTTGGTTAAATTTATGATTCTTTTAGTTGATATTTTATTTTTAATTAAAATATATATTCAATTCCTATAATTAACACTTATTTATAAATTAGTAACTT